TGAGCTGACAGTACTTGTGTACTTTTACTCCACTGAGCTGACAGTACTTGTGTACTTTTACTCCACTGAGCTGACAGTACTTGTGTACTTTTACTACCATCTAACTCCACTGAGCTGCATTAAACTCTTGTACATCAGATAAAACTTGAAAACGCGGCCTCTCTTTTCTCTCTGTAGTACTTTTACTTTGCTCTACTGCTGCTCGTACTTCGATAAAGGACCTGAGAAGTTTTTTTTTTCCAAAGCAGAGCGGCTCCCCCTCCATCACCGCTCCGCTCGGCCCTCACAGCAAACAGCCCGAGCAGCGGAGAGCAGGAGCCCGGGCATCAGGCGGCACTCACCGGCTGCGAGCAGGACGAGGGTCCCGGTCCACAGGCACCGAGCCATCATCGGGACGGGCGGGGGGCGGCCGGAGGAACTCAGCGGCGCTCGCTCGGTCGGTCGGTGCGTCGGTGTGGAGCCCCGGTACCAGCGGAGAGCAGAGGGACTCCAGATGTTTTTCATCCAGATGTGGCTTGGCCCCGCCTCCTCCTGCTGCTGCTGCTGGTCCACATGGAGACACACAGCGGCGGAGGCAGAACTCACATCTGCACCCAGAGGAGGCAGATGGGTGTTAAAGATGAAAACAATAATCATACTGTCACTGTCTTCTGTTGAACTGATTGTTAAAGTAACTTTAGAGACAGAAAAAAACAGCACAAGGTAATAAATGGATGTTTTTAGGACCAAAAAAAAGTTATTTATTTATTTTATTTGTATTATCTTATTTTACATTTTTATTACATTTATTTTTAGAGAGACAGAAAAATCTAATAGTAGGAAAAAATATTTTTGTGATAATATATTTATTTTCTAATTGCACCTCTACAGATAAAATAATATATAAAACCTACGATTTATGATATTGATAGGATTTTTACTTCCGTATTTTCCATTAATTTTACTGTTACTTGCTGACAGATTTTAAAAAAGCTGACAGAATAAACTAAGAAGTAAGTTGTACAATTTAATTTAATTAATAGAATTTTTTTTATTTTACTGTTTTAAAACACATTTTTGATGAGGACAGACAGAAAATGTGATAAAACTATATTTAGTTCTTTGTGTATATATTTTATGTGCTTTTTAATGATCCTTTTAAAGTTATTTTTAAAATATACATATCTGAATGTTATTTAAATTATGATCAATAACAATCAGATGAAGATTAAAAAGAAGAAGAAACAGAGGAAGAAGAAGAAGATAGCAAATAACAAGTGGAAGATAATGAGGAAGAAAAAGATGAAATAAAAGTAGATGATGAAAAATAAGAAGATGATGACGAAGAAGAAAATAGAAAGAAGAAGAAGATGGCAAAGAAGAGGAAAATGAAGACGTTAATTATGAAGATTGAGAAGAAAAAGAGACAGAAGGAGGAAGAGGAGAGGAAGAGGAGGTGATGAGAAGAGTAATCAGAATCAGAAATCCATCACTGATCCCTGAGGGGAGGTTGCTGATGTTTCTGTTGCTTCCACTCAAAGTCAGAAAAATCTAAAATATATCGATGAACAGAAGAATAAAATATGAACTAAAATATAAACATAGGTGGAAAAATAAGACCTACAAATATAAAGATAAGTAGAAAAATATGTCGTTAAATACAAGCATAGCTACAGTGGACAGTATAAACATAACTGTCTACTTATGATTATATTTTAGGACATATTTTAATCTTAATAATATTTTAGTAAGAGAAAAGAAAAAGCTGAACAGGAAGGAGACAAGAAGAAGTGAAGAAGTTTCTATAAGTTCTGATAGACCTGGGCCCACGAAGATTAAGAAAGAAAACAGAAAGAAGCTTTGATTTTTATTTTTTTGAAAATAACATTAAACTTGAGAAAACGAGGCTTTTATTGTGAAAGAACTGTGTCGGAAGTAGCTGCGTTGTTTCCGGTGAAGGAGCAGATAAGAATAACATTTTGTAGATTAAAAGCTACTGATTCTGATCAAAATAAACCTTAAAATATCAAAGTTAGAGCAGAGTCTGGTGATCTTTGGTGTTTGACGTGACGGGGCGGTTCATCGGGAGGGACGCTGTCAGCGGATCCCGGCTGACCCTTGACCCCGGACCTCCGGACGCCTGAAGCCGCGTCTCTCCGCCGGAGCTCCGCCAGTGTCACCATGAAGCGAAGGCTCCTGCTCGTGTCCAACTCCACCCTGCACGGCAGCGGATACCTGGACCACTGTCAGCAGCACATCTCCAGCTTCTTCGGAAAGTAAGACTCACTGGAGCTTGTTGCAGGAGAAAGTTTACAGGAAGACGAGTAGCGAACTCCGTTTAAAATTCGAGCGTTTCAGTAATACCAGGCTAATCAGCAAACGACGACAGATCTATCAACATGTTTGATAATTGTTTGTTAATTACTAGTCGTTTGGTAAAGTTCGGCATGCAGCAATGCTTTCAGATTTGAACAACGCTTGTTCTAAATGGCTGAACTCATGTTGCGTAAACCGTGTTTTTAACGCGTAGAGGCCGTTAAAACGCCTGATTTTTCAATGGAGTTCGGTGTAAGAAACTGCCACTTAAGTTGAACCTGAGAAAAACTGAGTCAGCAGTCTGATGCAGGTGTTAAGCCATAAAGTGATCGTCTGATAAATTGTGATTGCAGTCAGTCTGTTGGAGCAGTTAACTTTTATCTTCTTCTTTAACCTGCTTGGTGGCCTGTGTTATAACCAATCCAGTTGTTTATTACCTGCTGAAACTGATGAAAATGACCCATTAAACTCATATAATACAGTTTTACACTTGACAAATTGTGAGTGCAGCCCCGAGTGACTTCTTTCATTTCTGGGGTTGCATTTTAGAGATAATAGTGTCAAAGATAATTGCAAAAGAGATAATTGCCTCCTTTTACATATAAAGAGCACAAACAATATAATTATGTGTATTTGAACGTTATGACTGCTTGATTGAGATAAAATACTCTATTATACTAACATAATACTGTATAAACTTGAAGTAAACAGCATTAACATGAAGCACAATCAGTGTTTGGCCCAACACTGGAACTGAAAGTAAGCGCAGGTCACGAGATGCGAATTCCGTTGGAAAAATGTGCAATTTAAGGTTTATGACATATTCTGAAAACATACATGTCTCCATAAGTACGTTTGATAATGTTTTGTCAACCAAAAGTAGTGGAGTAAAATTCGGTGTACAAGCAGCAGTTTGTAATTACTATCTGGATTGAATAAAAATATCAGAAATACGGGAAGTGATGTTGTAAACGGTTTATATCAGGGCCAAATAAAACACTAAAACGTGATATTTTTCAACGGAGTTTGGTATGCAAAGACTTAGGCATGCTACTATGTAAAAAGCAGGCTATGTACTATTATGTTATGTTTTAGAGACTATAAGAAGTTCAGCTTAACTATAAGGTACACCTGGAGCTCAGGGTATTTATTCCTATGTTAAGAAAACCAATAGCGAATTTCATTTAAAAAAATCAATAAGTTAAATTTCATCCTCTTTCTTCGGAAACATACTCATCTCTATAAACACGTTTCATAATCATTTTGAGCTAACAGTCATGTGGTAAAATTCGGCACAGAAGCTGCAGTTTGTGACCAATATTTTCACTGAAAAAACAAACAACTTTTGTCTGAAGTCATGTTGTGGAAAATGCGTCCTACAGGCGAAACGATCATTAAAGTGCCAGATTTTTCAATGGAGTCTGGTGTGCAAATACTCTGCAATGCTCCGCTGTAAATTGTGTGCGATTCATTTATATATTGTGTTCTAGAAATTGTGGAAGAGTTTAACTTGAGAACACCTGGAGCTCAGGGATTTTTTTTTTTTTTATGATAAGAAAACCAATAGCGAATTTCATTTAATAAATCAGGCAAATTAATTTCTTCCTCTAGCTCAGGAAACAAGCATCTCTATAAACATGTTTAGTTATAAATATAAATTAACAATCATGTGGTAAAATTCGGCATACAAGCTGCAAGTTTGTGAGCAATAGCTTCATGGAAAAACAAACTCCAAACATCTGAACGCACGTCAACATGTGTTGTTAACGCCATGCGGAACATCATTAAAATGGCAGATTTTTAAATAGAGTTTGGTGCGGAGATGTAATTATGATGCAAAATAGATTCACAATAATGAACACACGTGTCTTTATGAGCATGAATGATAACCCAGTGCACCTCAGACTTGTACCTAAGTGCAGTACTTGAGTAAATGTACTTTGACAGTTACTTTCTGACAGTTTGTGTGTTTTTTTAATGTGTATTTCAGAGATGTGAAGAAGGTTCTGTTTGTTCCTTACGCTCTCCACGACAGAGACGCCTACACCAAGACCGCCAGGGACAAGTTCAGGACTCTAGGTCGGTGTTTGGGATTTCAGTTTGCAGATTGTGGGGTTTTTTTGTAATATCCAGGCACTGTTTGGTATGTGTTGTGTGTATTTCTTTGTGTTTTGTGTAGATATTTGGTTATTTTCTGTGTCTATTTCCTCTGTGTGTTTGAGTTTTAACATGTTTTTCTTTGTGAGTTGTTCTACGTTGACTTTGCATTTTGTGAAGCAGTTCTTCCTGTTTTCTGCGGCGTTCTCTTGGTTTTTTCTGTGTATTTGTGCTTCTGTTCCTCGTGCGTTTTCCTGGTTTTTCTTTGCATTTCGTCGTCATTTCCTGCCTGTTTTTTTCTGTGTATGTTTGAATTTATTCTGTTAATGAATTTGTGTGTTTTCAGCGTGAATTTTCTGAGTTTTTCTGTTGCATTTCCGTTATTTATTCTCTTTATTTTCTTCACATATTTGTGTTTTTTTCAGCTTATGTCTGATTATTTGGGGTTTTTATTTTTGCAGATTCTCTTTTCAGTGTATTTTTTCTGCCCTCTTGTGTCTTTTCCTTGTTTTCTTTATTTTCTTTGTGCTCTAAATGCATTTTCTTGTTTTTCTTTTGATGTATTTATGTGGATTTTCTTTATAGTTTCAGGTCTTTCTGTGTGTTTTCTTCATGCATTTATTTTTCGTGAGTCTTTCTGTGTTGTTGTCGGTTTGTCTTTGTGTATATTCTTAGTTTTTTGTGTGTATTTTCTTTTTGATGTAAATCTGTCTCGTCTTTCTGCTCTTACATATTTTCATGTATTTCTGTGTTTGTTGTTTGTTTGTTGGTGTTTTTCCTTCATGTTTTTTGTCTTTGTGTATTTGTGTGTGTTTTAATCCGTCTGTGTTTGTTCGTCACCTTCAGCCTCCAGCTTTGTGTTAAACCTCCTCTCGCTGTTCGTCTGCAGGTTATGACGTCAGCAGCATCCACGAGGCGTCGGATCCCGTCGACGCCGTCCGGACGGCTGACGGCATTTTCATTGGTGAGGAACGAAACGCCGCCTCTCGGTCCGTCTGCAGCGTTCAGACACTAACGGACGCTTCTGTCTGCAGGAGGAGGAAACACCTTCCGGCTGCTCAAGAGCCTCTACGACAACAAGGTGGTGACGGAGATCAGGAGGAGGGTGATGGAGGTGAAGCACAGAACAGACAGAACGCAGGCAGCAAACATGAACTCTGCTCTGATGGGGGTTCAGCAGAATGTAGTCGAGTATTTCCCACTGATCGGACAAACCGAATCCCAAACATCTGCAGCTTTCAGCGTCTCAGATCAGAAGCTTTGCTGCTTTTTAGGTTTATATTTTAGCTCAGTGTTTGTTTTTGATGCCTTGTGGACGAACAAGTTACTAAACTAACAAGCACTGAATAATAAAGTCACCATCAGCTGCAGCGCCGGTGATGAACAGCCTTCAGAAACTCCCAGAATGCAACACTGCCGCCCTGAAAACAAACACGAGGTCACATTTGTGATGCAGGAAGTAAACAAAAAATAAACAATCACATGATGATGAAGACTTTGAGGTCAAACTTCTCGTTCCACTTCAATCTCTAAACCACAAATCATGCAGAATCACTTTCTCATGGTTTCTATTTTAACTCTTTCATACAAACTGCACGTATTTTGTTTTTCTGCTGCTCTTTCCTTCTTCTTTATTTAGTTTTTTCCCTACATACCGAGTCTGTAGCGTGTCCGTGCAGTAACGCTCTGTTCTCCGTCTGGTTCTGGTTTCCAGGACGGCGTCCCCTACATGGGCTCCAGCGCCGGCACCAACGTGGCCACGGTCAGCATCAACACCACCAACGACATGCCCATCGTCTACCCGCCGTCCTTCGCCGCCATCGGCCTCGTGCCCTTCAACATCAACCCGCACTACCTGGACGCCGACCCGGCCAGCCGCCACATGGGGGTGAGTCCAGAACACCGGGACCGTTTCCAAGAAGCTGATAAATCAACTCCATGCAGCCGGTACCGGCTTCTTCTAAATGCAGCTCTTCTGCTCGAGTGTTTTTCTGTTTTTTTCTCTGTAACTTTGTAGATTTTCTTCGTTTTGTGTGTTTTTATTCCCCCCTCAGTCTCTTTCTGTGTACTTTTGTGTTTTTTCTCCGTGTGTATTCTGTTCACGTTGCTAATTGTTGTTGTCTTTACTCTAAACGCAGTACTTCTACTCAAGTATAATTCTAAAGTTATAGTATTTGTACTTCATCCCAAACTCCAAAACCCACCGCTGGGTTAAAAGGAACGTCATCTTTTTTTAAATAAATCACCAAAATGACAACATTTAACGACCACAAACTACATAATCTCTGGATTTTCAGTTTTCCAACGGTCCTTGAACACCTCACGGTCGGTCAAACTAACAGAATATAAACTTAAAGTTGTGATATTTCATTAAAATCACTTCGTTCTACATGAAAATTAGCCAAAAATAAACAGTTTGCACCAAAATTTCAGTGTTTCTTTGCAGCTGAGCAGCAACAAGTGACTCAGCGTTCTGAGATTTCCAACTTTATGAAAACTTTAACTCCTCGTTTGTGTTGCTGCAACAGAAAAACCTGCAGCTGTGATATTTCAGCAAAATCCCTTTAATCTGTGTCTGATTTAGGAATTTGTGTCAGATTTTTAACTTTCTCCTCTGCGACGAGTCGTTCTGTTGAAAATCCCTTAATGCAACCGTAGAGTTTGTAAATTCCATCAAAATCACTTGATTCTACACGTCTGACTTAAAAATGTGCTAATAAATAAATAAATAGTTTTCACTAAACAGATTTTGTAAAAAAGGAAAAATTCTGCAATATTTGGTCCAACCGTGAAGCCGTCGGCGTCTCAGCTACAACCAACAGTCACATCATGAAAAATCAGGAAATATTCGGCTGAACTGTGTTTTTAATTCTTTTTTGGGCGTTCTAACTGCAGCGCTGCGTCTCTGAGTTCTGTCTCCTCGGACAAGTTGGACACGTTATGAGTCACTTTTTACTGATTTTTACTGTTTCAGTAAAGTTTTAAAACATTTATGACGGTTTTTGAATTATTTTGGACAAACTTTGACCTCATTTTTTGACTATTTCAGTGAAGTTTTCCAACATTTTGGACAAACTTCAAGTCATTTTGGACACATTATGAAGTCATTTTGGAAAGTTTTGACTCAGTTTGTACCAAAACGGACTATTTTAGTCAAGTTTTAAAACATTTATGATCGTTGTTGAATCATTTTGGACAAACTCTGACGTAATTTTGGAGAAGTTTTAAGTCATTCTGTACCAATATTGACCATTTCAGTAAAGTTTTAGAGCATTTTTGACAGTGTTTGAATTATTTTGGACAAACTGAGTCATTTTGTGTAGATTTTGAATCATTTTGGACAAACTTTGGGACATTTTGGACAGATTTTGATGTAATTTTGAACAAGTTTTGAGTCATTTTTTACAGATATTGACCTCTCTCCTTCTAGTCGTGCTTGTTCTGGTTCCACAGAGCTGCAGGAAAAAGAAAAGAAAAGAAAATCGAGGCTCAGAGGGTCGGACTCTGATGGTTAAAGTCTGAGCAGATAAGAAGCTGCAGCAGTAAAACACGACTCAGCGGTTCTTTATCATCCCGCTGGACTGATGAGGACGATGTCAGACGGTTCTAGTCGCTCCCATTGGTCCGTTATCTGGACCAGTGATCGTCTTTATCGCAGAGGTCCAAGAAAAGCTGATAAAGAAACAAAGATCTGAGAGTGCGTCGGACACATTCAGATAATAAACGATCGTCTGAGCTTCAAGGAAAAACAGACGTTTAGTGTTTAAACACAACAGAAAACAGCAGAGAGGTTAAAGTCAGAGGTCACATCCAGACAAACCTCGGAGCAGAAATATTCAGTTCTGACATAAAGTCGGATGTTTTTCTGCCTGTGAACACTGAAGCTTCACATGCAGCAGCTGGAGACGTCCAGAGTCCTGCAGGACAATCTGAACATTCACTCTGAGCTGCAGATGTTTGCTGGTTTTAGCGTCTCACACGAGGAAGTGATGCATCACCGAGACCGGAAAACTGCAGCAGCTGATGAATAAATTGCAGCGTCAGCAAACTGAAACAGAGCTGCTTTCTCTTCAGAGGCTTTTACTGGACGCTGTGATCGACATCAGAATATATTAATATTAACGATAATTATGATGATTTATTCTAGTTTGTTTTGTCCTTGAACTCCACATTTTATTAGAAAACTTCACAAAATCTGACTCTGGAGCCTAAAACGGTTTAAAAAGCAAAAGTTCCCTTTTTTAAAAATCGTCAAAATTTAAAAATGACACGATTTATCAACCAGAAAGTGTAAAAACAGAAAAATTAAAGCTTTTTCCAAACACTCATGTGTGACGTATCCATAAACGTCACGAAATCTAATCAGGAAATTTCATCACAATCAGTGTCTCCTTTCAAAAATGTGCCAAAAATCAACCTTTGTGACGAATCAGATGCTGTAAAAACAAACAACCAATTCTGCATCTTCTTCAGAAACCAGAGACCAAATGACTGAACGTCAGGCAGAGTTCACAGGATAGAAACAAATCAGACATCTAAGTAGTAAAACATCGTCCACAGAGGACGACGTAGAGGCAGAATTTAATTTTATTTTTAGTGTATTAACACCTTGTAGTGAGAAACGAGTCCACAGTGAGCAAAAAACACCCAAAATGTCAAAAAAAAAAAGTGGACAAAATGCTCTTTTAAGCTAAATTACAAAGATTTTCATTTTCTAATGACGTCAAAGAGAAGAAAGCAGCAAATCTTCACATCACACAAGCAACAATATTAGAAATTTGTCCTTTTATAAATATTATAAATAACCCACATGATTCATTTATCGTCAACTTAATGTTTCTAAAAAGCAACTGTCAGAATAAAAAGAAAAAACACTCAAGAAACTAAACTACATTTGTTATTTGATAAAATAAATAAAAACTGATTTTCTAGTTACTGCCGTCCTCTGGTGTTGTGTCTCCCTCTGGTGGTCACCGGTGTTACTACAACACTGACCAGTTTCAACCAGAGTGTTTTTCTTCTTAATACATTATAAAGTTTCCTCTTGTAAGGATTCTTCGTCACGTGATTCATTAATTAATTTAACTGCTGCAGCTGAGATTTACTGAAATGTCACCGGAACATTCACATATGAGACACGTACTTTGAATTTTCACTTCCTACAAACAGAATCATCTGCGGTTTTAGATTCAAGAAAACATCCGTAAATCA